TTAAATGGGAAAAAAATCTTGGTTAAAAGAAAATAAGTATAATGCCTATTTACTCTCTCTCATGAAAACATCACTTAGAAATCTTGAGCTTATGTATTCCAATTCAAAGCTTGTTATAGGAAGTGTTTTGATGATCAAATCAACAAAATTATCACTTGAATGAATATGTTTGAATATCAATATCACCAGTCCTTCATAGATCATGAGAGAAAAAGAACTTTTTCAAAATATATTTGTCTTTTCTTTTAGTGTATCATTCCTTTAAGGAATATAATACATGTTATATAATCTCTATTGTGGAGCTTCTTTTTGTGCAAGCAGACTGTACGAACTTTGAACATATCAAATGATTAATTTCACTCAGATACATTACTGGCTTATTTAATCTTTGTCAAAGAAGAGTAAAAACATGATAGAATTATATCATATACTTATTTTCCACCACAGATCATATGATATTTTCGCAGTCATATCTTTTAAGGCAATTATACCACCTTTGCCCATATTTCTTTATTCCACCTAGAAATCTTTATAATTTACTTGAACACATTTTCAAGGGTTTCAATTTGCATGCTTCAAGCATGTTACAATCCTTCAAGGATTATCATTATCAAGTACTCCATATATAGCTCTATATAATTTCTCGAGAATTTGAATTTTGTGCTTCAAACAACTTAAATCCTTCAGGGATTTTCATATAGGTATCTATATCAAATGAGTCATATAAAAGAGACAATCATTTTATGTATATGCCTTAACAAACTTATATTCAAGATCCTCATCATTTTTCACAATACTGAGTGCTATAGCATATGTAAAAATACAGTCGTTATTTTATATCAATTCCATATTTTCTTTGGCACGACATAACTTATCGAGATCTCATTATTTTCATCACATTCATTGATTTCAAGTATCTAAGTTTCTTCTGGAAATTTATCAGTCACGCCTAAGGTTTCTTTTGGAGTTTATTTTTTTAGAGTTTATCTTTTTAGAATTTGCACATATAATATATTCGTTCCTTTTTATTTTCAAGATTTTTGTCCTTGGAACTCATCAATCTACAACTTCTTTAATTCAGGCGTGCAATAGATTTATTAACATAGGCCTTTTATCCTTCAAAGACTTTAATTCTAATAGGAGTTTAGCAATTGATTTACGATAGTTTGCAAAATAACTATCTTTTGAACTTCTAGTTCATACAACTTTGTGAAAGGATCAAAATTTAATAATAATAATTATTTTCAGTGATTAGCATTTTCAACTGCTTATTCTCTCCCTCTAATGTCAGGATTTATAATTAAAAGACGAAGAATTTATAATAGCTTGTTGGCTCGATGCGAATAATTACCATTGTATATAACATCAATATCCCTACACATAAATGGGGAGCTTTGTTTTCATAAAAATTGCTTAATTATCACAAATTAACGATGAAAATTTCATTATATTTGAAGAAACTTCCGATTTTTTAATAAATATCCACATAAGGATTTAATTTCTTTTCACATCAATATTGATTTGAGATAGCTCAGTCGATCATTGCCAAACAATAAAAATATTTGAATCTGTAAACTTTTTAGTTTACAACAATGTTCATTACAATTATTATCACTATATGATACATCAATATTGATTTGAGATAGCTCAGTCGATCATTGCCAAACAATAAAAATATTTGAATCTGTGAACTTTTTAGTTTACAACAATGTTCATTACGATTATTATCACTATATGATATTCAGTTCTGCAAATATCCTTAAAATAAATTTCTACAAGATCAAAGAGATAATAATATATAATGCATCACAGTCATTTCTCTAAATAGTGATATTTATTCTTCAAAATTTTTTTCTTTTGGATACATGAGAGGTCCAATAGACCAGAATAACATTGTAGGCTATGCAACAGTAGGGAAACCCTCCTCTTTGAATAACATTCACTAAATTGATAATAACTTTTATGGTGGAGAGGACTCGAACTTGAGACCTCTCACTCCCTACAACTTCTACAAGAGGTAGGAAGACACTCTTCAAGAGTTTTTAATAATTCTTTTAGTGTCAAACTCAAAATTTGCATTCATATATTTTGGTGTACTCAAGTACATAATTAACATGTCATATTATATTTTGCAGCTTCTAGTAGTAAGATTTATTTTGATTACTTGTGGTTACCACAATTACAAATATTAGTAATTCAATAATGATCTTATTAACATTTTCAATGACAAGAATATTATTGTCATTATTTACACTCATACCTAATATTATATGTTATTGCACTCACCTCGAGGAATGAAATAAATTCAATTAAGTGAGTTTCATTTCATGACATCTTTTATATCGTGATTATAAATATGTCCTTATTTTTTGTTTATGCCCAATATTATCACATACTATTTCATTCACTCGAGGGAATGAAAATAAATCTTATTATGTGAATTAAGAGCTTAATGTTTGCTCAATAACAAAAAAAATGAAACTAATTTAAAATCCACAATCGATATACTAAAATATTTTTTTTCCGATAATGCTATTGTAGGAGCATATTCAAAAGTATAAAATATTATCCATGATTATGGATTAAATATGATAATATTATCATTAATGAATAAATCGGTCATATCTCATAATTTGTAGCACATGTTTCTTTTAATGAAAATATATCTAAAAGAAAATATAGTATTGTACTAACCCAAATAATTTATTTATAATTTTTATGCTACACATTTCAAAATTAATATTTCCTCAAGTTATTTCTAAAATATGTGGAGGAAAATTATTTGCTTTAGTCAGAAATCCAAATTCTCTAAGATTTGACATGATAAAACAATAATATCATACGAATTTGATTTTAGAATTATATTCCATATTAATAACCAATCAAATATAAAATCCAAGATTGAATTTACACTCATAATTCATATCTAAAATATATAGATGAAAAAATGTATATAGAATTACCTTTTAAGTGTGAACAACTTTACATATATAGCTTTTAACTTTGATTGTCACAAGTCATAAGTTATCCTCTCTTTAACCAATTTCAACAAAAAAAAGCATCGTAGAAGTTGATAATGAAAGCAAAACCACAAAATCAAAGAAGAGTTAGAACAGATTCGTATAATTTGGCTAAAGCTTCGTGCTAATAACGTGTTATGAAATCTAAAAAATAGAGAGATTATAAAGAAATGGAGTAGAGAAAATATAGAGAGAGTAATTCTTATTCATTAGAAAAGTTGTATCTATATAGAGTTAAGGTACCTCTATTTATAGGTAGAAGATACATCCCAAAGTTATAGCCATGCATTTCAAAGGACATAACCTTACATTCCAAATCACATAACTATATATTCCAAAAGACATAACCTATGGAGAAGATAATAATGGATATCCACATAATTATAATATTCATAACAATATTTTGAGATTTTTATATAGATTTTTTAGAAGGTGGACCTTGCTTATAGGGCATTTTTAGGATCCCTATAAATAGAGGAAGCTATAAAAACAAATTGAATTATTCAAGTGGGTCAAGTCACCTTATATCTCATTTCTTTTCCAACTATTTAATTTTTTTTATATTTCTTTCTTGACCCTCTCACATTTGCTTTTCTTCTCATGAACTCTTCTTATTCTCATTCTTTTCTTTTTAGACCAAACAGGCCTCAGCCCACCGCCACCTATCCCAAAGTACTCTCAATAGACACATACCTAATGGATCAACAATTATTTTTGGACTTATTACTAATTGTTCACGATTTGCTTTTATAGCATTTTCTGAAATGCAATAAAAAAAGAATGTTTAGTTGTTAAGAGATAATTTCAATTAAATGGCGAAATCATAAATACTAAAGAAATGAGACAAACTTATTTTCTTCACTCGTTTGATTGGACACTTGATTTGGATAAAAGATACATAGCGTCAATTAAACATGTAAGTACAATTACGAAAACTAAAATACAAAACAAACAACCATTTAGTTTACCAAAACTACAACATATAACAAACTTTGCCAAAATCCACCACTACATTGCAATTCCTCACCGTATCATTCACATCTTCTTTTTTCATTGGAAAATAATTATAACTAATGAAACGACAAGTCAGATCCATAACAATTTTTTCGTTGTCCATCTCCTTTGTAATTCTTCTTTCAAATCGTTCCTCCTCAACAAACCGGGTTATTTTCTTAGCTCATTGAATCAAGCCATTCAAAAATGTCACATTCATAGTTATGATATCCTTTAAATTATATTAAGGCCGTATTGGTAAACGGATTTTTAAGTAACTTTTAGTTTTTTATTAATTAAAACACTAAACGCTATTTTTTATAGTGTTTAATAATATAATGTTTGAATTAGTTTTTTATACAAAGTTAACTCATATAATATTTAACTTTTAGCGTTTCATGAAAAATTATTCAAACACTTAACAGCTATCAAAATAACTAATTTTGTATTAGATATTAAGAATTAGAAATGAGATATTGAATTTTTAGTAAAAGATGATTTTTAATCCCTAAAAAAAGTTTTTTAAGTCCTTAAAATATTATGAGCTCTATCAATTGGAAATACAATTGAGTAAGAAATAAATGATACCATCGTGAACCGCATAATTGGAAATATAATTCCTAATAAATATGAATTTTGATAAAAAGTAGCAACATGAATTTTTGCGAATCAGAGGCCTTTCTACGTTCAACGAAACTAATGTGGTGTCATCCACTGTAATAATTGCTCTTCCGCTCTTCTATCTACAGACAATTACTACCCACTTTCATATTTTTCTTCTTTCAGTGTATTTTACTATTTTATTTATTACTATTAATAAAATCTCCAATTGATGAAGAAAGTGAACGGCGCTGGATTAAGAGCACTTTGTTTAAAAAGCTGCCAACTGGCTCCTAAATCTGCCACGTTGCGTTTCTTCTGTAGGCGTTTCCCTTTGACGTGGCAACCATTCCCCACCTTTCTCCTAAATAAATACCCCTTTCTGTCATCCTCTCGTCTCCTCTCTCTCCATTCCATTTTTCACTCTCTCCCTCATCTAGACATAAAAACAAACACATTACATACAACAGTACAACAAAACACAACAACAATATCTCTCTCTTTCTCTTTCTCTCTCTCTTTTTTCGCTCTTCCCTTTCTCCAGCCAGTCAGAAAAAAGAATGCCAAGCTTTGATGCTGCTGTAGACTCCCGTAATGGAGACTCCATGGACGGTCCTGACCAATCCAAAGATTGTCCTCGAGATTCCCGTGATCTCCCATCTTTAATGCTGTCTTCTTGTTATTATCCTATTACTCTCAGGGTAGGTTGATTAACACTTCTGGTCAGGTTTTTTTTATATAACTTCCTCCTCTCTTATATTTTAATGTCATTTTCATTTAAAAAATATTAAAATAAGTAGTAATTATTGAAAAGTTAATATTTTTTTTAAAAAAATGAGATTATTAGTAATTTGTTTTACAATTATCTCTAACCACAGTTGAATTTACAGAACGACATTAAATACTCCATTTTAGTTCTGAAAATACTTGATTCGATTTGACTTAGCTTGACTCTGTCTGATTTGACTTTGACTTTTCTTTTCCGTCCAGTTCATCGATGTGTGTTACAGATTGAAAATTGAGAAGAGGGCTAAGAGTAGTAACATCAGACGGATGATGGGCCATGGATCCACAAAGTCAAATCAAACATCAAGGGGTATGATTGAAGAACGAACAATCTTGAATGGGATTACAGGCATGGTATCGCCGGGAGAAATCCTAGCCATTCTTGGACCCTCAGGGAGCGGGAAATCAACTTTGTTAAATGCTCTAGCAGGGAGATTACTCCCTGGACATGGCTTCACAGGAACAATACTAGCGAACGATAAAAAATTCAGCAAACAAACGTTGAAACGCACCGGTTTTGTGACTCAGGACGATATCCTCTACCCTCACCTCACCGTCCGTGAAACCCTAATTTTCTGTTCTTTGCTTCGGTTACCAAAATCATTATCCCAGAAAGAGAAAACTTCAGTAGCTGAGTCAGTGATTTCCGAGTTAGGACTAACAAAATGCGAGAACACCATAATCGGAAACAGTTTTATACGTGGAGTCTCCGGCGGGGAAAGAAAGAGAGTGAGCATAGCTCATGAGATGCTAATAAACCCTAGTTTGTTGATTCTTGATGAACCAACGTCGGGTTTGGACTCAACGGCGGCACATCGGCTTGTTTTGACGTTGAGTTCATTGGCTCAGAAAGGGAAAACTATAGTTACATCCATGCATCAACCTTCTAGTCGAGTTTATCAGATGTTTAACTCAGTTTTGGTGTTAAGTGAAGGAAGGTGTGTGTATTTTGGCCAAGGAAGTGAGGCTATGGCTTACTTTGAATCTGTTGGGTTCTCCCCGTCTTTCCCCATGAATCCTGCTGATTTTCTCCTTGATCTCGCTAATGGTACGCATTTTACTTTATTTGCTGTTTTTGTCCATCTCTGCAATATTGTTATTGCTGTTTTTTTAGTCGGTTGATTTGACTCCTAAGGCTAGGATTTCTTGAATTTTACATCCAACTGTTAAACCTTAATTCTAAACTAGTTGGTACATGCTACATAAATTCTTCTCTATTCATAACTAAAATTTTAGATATACACCAGAGAAAAATAATCTTTTTTTGACCTTTTCATCATATAGAAAAATAATAGGGGCAGAGTACAGAAGTAATTTCAAGGGTCAAGAAAAGATAATTGAACAAAGTTGTGGCCAGAGAGAGTTTGGTGGTCCAAGGAGTTGTGACAAGATTTTAATTAATTAATTAATTAATCAATCAATTTATTGTCAAGTATAAAGACAAGAAAAAAAAAAAAAATCAAGTTAGGCATGTACAAATTAAGATGTATATGCACTACTTCTCCATACCTTCTTTTTCTTTTTCTTTTTCTTTTTCTTTCAAGAATTAAATAGACATATTATCTACTTCCTTCAAACACTGAAAAAGTATAACGGGTACAGTGTATTACTGGGTTGCTTTAAATATGTTCTGTCATATACACAGCATTTATCTATCTATGTCTGGTCAGATTAGGACTTGGCCTTGTTTTGTTTTGGATATTGCAGTTTCTTTAATTAGCTTTTTCAGTATCTGAACATATATAAATATGACTTCAATAAAACTGTGGCAAGTGATGGTGGCAGGAGGGTGGTGGTAGTGGTGGTGGTGAGTCGTGGCGTCTAATTATTTATTGTTTGAATTAGATGGAAAGTGATGGTCTTTTGAAGGAACTTTGGCGAGTAAAATTTAATAAGATTAGATTAATAATTATATATTTTTTGTTAATTACTTACAATTAGGTTTAGGTGTAGGTTTAATGTACTGTATAGTAATGACGTGTCCTCTTTGCTTGGTATTGACGGTGTCTTGTATAGCTGCTTTTACTTTTAGCCAGCTCGATTACTCTCCTTAGGTCTTATACTTTTCTTTTTCTATTTTTTTTCTTTTTTTTACATTTTCTTTTTCTTTATTGTACTTATTATATTTTTTCTTTTGTCGTCACTAATATGTTTTTCCCACTCTTTCTTTTTACCTTTTTCATTGGATAATGGATAATCCACCACGTGCTGACACGGCGCGTGTTTCAACTAAAATTTCATGCACTTTTTCTTGCCCTCGAGCGTTCCTTATCATTTCTCGTTCACATACTAGAATTCCTATCATAAAAGGGTCGTATTAGAAGATCAGGGGTGAGCTTAAGTAACGAGTCATGAATTTAGGGTTAATTATCCTTTAATAATAATAATAATGATAATAATAATAATAATTAATAGGATTGGAAAGATAGCCTTTTAATATAAAATTTAAGTCTCCTAAGATAATATAATCCATTGCAATTGGAAGTAAAGGCGTGTGCATTTGCATTCCCTTTATGGAGTGTAAGTTAGGTAATGTTAGTTAAATTTTTAACTAGCCTTTCAAGGTTGATTTTTGAACATTTGGGTGTTAGAAAATAGAGTTTGGAATTTAATATGGAAGCACAGGAGAATGCTTTTTCAAGTATATATTTCATCATGAAAGTGGGCCTAATGAATGAAGTTATGGGACCCAACACATAAACCAAACACTTACTAAGCATAAAAGATAATGGTTTGGAGAGTTAATCAAAGAAAACACAGTATAATAGTATGGAGAGTGGACCCTTCAATCACATCCTTTACTATAGCTATGGGTTTCATAGTCTATGAGATGGGTGAAAGAAACATATCAAAATTACTTTTGCTATGATGTGGAGATGTCTCTCATGTCAATTAACGATCTTATGTTAGTTGACTTGCTTCTACTTGTAGGATTGGATGTAGAGACAAGTCATGGGGCATGAGTATGTGGTTATGGAAACCCTTTTAGAAGAATAGGTCCTTGTATTATCATAAATGCCTATTCAGTTTTGGATGCCATCCTAAATCTACATTATTGGATATGTTGGGAAAAGCATCCAATGTTGAAATATTATACATATAAAAGACCTTATAGGTAGAAAAACATTGAATTTGTTTATACATAGAATCAAGCAGATGCAGGATTTAGATTTAGATTTAGAGGACGAAATATATTGAATTTGTTATACATAGAATCAAGCAGATGCAGGATTAGATTTAGATTGTAGAGGGAGAAATATAATATATATATATATATATATATAATATATATATATATATATAATATATATTGTTAATATTTTAGGACACGAAACATGTCATGACTGATGCATTCTCCAAATATATGCCAACTTTATCTAGGTTTTAAATTTTGTGTTAACACAATCATTTCCTATATGTAGTGTTAATTGTTGTTGCCGTCATTTGTTTGATTAGATATATTATTTGGTGTTATGTCCACTAAATCCAAGTCTAACATATAAATAAAATGAACATTTACTAGTGTAGGTTAAGTGCCCTTTGACTAGATGTTTTTATCTTTTTCAACCTTAGGGCAGTCGATGTTCAATGTGCAACTTTCTTGGAACATAATGAGGACGTGGATGATAGATATATACAGATTGCGATTTCTTAACTTCCTTTAATTTTTTTTTTTCTTTGGACACAATGATGGTTATGGGTGGATTGAGGGTAGAAAAAGATATTTCATTTGACGTACATTCATCACGTTAGAAACCATGATTCAGAATTTAATTAATATGAGCACTTTGAAAATTTTCTGCACCATTGCCTTTTGTTAATTGGCGGGTTCATTAGCTTTGTCTCCATGAGGTTTTTCATTTCATTTACTATTAATTATTCTTTGTCTTATCAATAAGAATAAGATACATAAGGTCAAGGGAATCTAGCTATTTTGAATAATAATATTTTTGATCGATACAATATATCACATAAAGAAGAAGAGAGATTAGCTTTGTTATTTGATTTTTATTCCTATAATGGAGAAAATGTTGGATTGGAGAATCTCAAATAGTTTCTTAGGAAAATTTCTAGTCAAAGTATACAATATATATAAGATTTTCTTTCAAATCATTAGAAAAAATATCAATTTGAAGCTTGTTGTCTTCCTTTGTTTTTTAAAGTGAAAATCCTTCTCATGAGTTATCCAAATCTTTTTAATTTTTTTATTCCACCATGTAGGTATCATTTTAATTAATCAAAAAACACCTATTGATTTTCATCTAATTTAGCTCACAAAAGGGTATGTCGTAAATTCCTTTTTTGAAGAAGGAGTATTGAAATACAAACTCACATCTCTACTTGTTAATTAACCTAATTAATGCATGCATGCCAATTAAAGTCCAAATTCCATATATGATTTGATCATACCAATTTGGACAAGGAAGTGTTTTGAGATAGGAGTTTAACTTCTTTGGTTTTTTGGTCCAAATTATATTTGCCTACCAATATGATAAGGATGGTATATATCTTTGATTAACTTCTTTGTCTCTTAAAATTTTTTTCAATCCACTCAATTCATTTTCTTCTGATAATGGTCAAATTATTGCAATTCAAATGATCATTCTACAATGCCAATCAAATATTAGAGAATGCTTGATTAATGTGACTTTCATGGTCAGTGATGACGCCTTGGATAGGTAGTGGCACAGTTATCTTTGATTCTTCTTCCACTGTGAGTTCTCCAAAATAGTAGGAATTATTTCTATTCACAAATCTTTTTCATTTATAGCAACATAAAAAAAGAGTGTTCTTATATTTGCATACATTATCTTTCTTCATCATTTACATTCATATTTTTTTGTCACTTGTCATATATTTCAGTGGCCAATACATTAATTTTTTCTGTTTTCCATTATTATATATTTATATATTCAAAGCCCATAGATCCCACATGACATAATTACACTTAGTCAAACTTAGCCCTAAGTTTGGAATAAGTTGGTTCTTTATTGTTTCCCTTTTCCTTTTTAGTACTTAGGACAGCTTTTTCACTTAAACTTAGTAATGTTTTTAGAATCAACACGTGTTGATTCTTGCATTTTTGCATTGAATTCTCTTCCTGCAAAAAGTTAGCAAAGTGACTATAATTTTTATTTATTTATCTAACTAGATATGACACTTTTTATCCTAACAATTTAAAAAAAAACAAAATTAATAATTTTTAGTTCTGGTCTCTACATATTTTAGTCACTTATTAATGAACCAACATAATTCAAGCTTTGATCTATAGATATAATTGAATGACAACAATTAATTGATAATTTATAACCCTTTAAGTTAGAGTTAGTAATTAACATTTAATTAAGCATTTGAATATTTTAAAAACTAATTGTACTATTAATCTCTTAAAAATTTTACTATTTAAGAAATTTGATATCATTATGCTGATATATATGGACCACAAACCAATCAAATCCTGAAACTATTAGGGTACAAAGCATTAACATTTATATAAGATAACAACTAATAATTAAAGTTTTTGTAATATAACAAAAATTTATTTAAAATACAAATAAAAATGAAAAAAGAGAAAGGAAATCAAGTGTGGTGGCACATAAACCTGAAGTGGCACGCACAAACATTAGTGGACTCCCACCTCACCACCAAGATGGTCAGCCTTTTGTAGGCTGATACATATGCTATGCTACTCATTACTTGTGCTAATACATTTACATCTCACTAAATAATCTTATATCATTCAATTAATATTCTATTCACTTAATATTTCTAAAAATCTGGGTTCGTTTCCTGCTAAAATGTTCTGTTCCATTCTCAATTTTATTTTTCTTTTGTGATAAATAAATATATATATATATTTTATAATTGCTATGCTTTTTCATGGTCCAATGATTTAGAGAACCGTTAGGTGTCAATTTTCGTCGAAATTGATTTGGGCAGAACATATATTTAGTGATGATAATTTTTTTCTTAAGATATTTTTATGAGAGCAATCCTGCTATACTAATATACTTAGCTTCCTAATCTAAAAGCAATATCCCAACACTAAAACATATGTAGAAATTAGATAAACACTATTTATTCCTTAATTAATATTTTACTAAATCTGATATGTGAGATGCCACAGAATGCTTGTGTCCCTATTCTTAAATTCTTAAACTGCTGCTAATCCAATTTGTTAATGCAAGTTCACTTTTAATTAAAAAATGTGATTTGATTGCATTCTCTGCAACCTTCCATGTGGTGTAACTAATGTCTCTAAACCTATTTTTTATATTCCTTGACTTTAAGGCTCTCAAGTATTTTGGTCTTTTGAAGTTTGTTGCTTTACCTTTACTGATAATCTTAATTTCAAAAACATGTTGTTTACCTAGAAATTGTGCAATATAATGTAGGGCATGATATATATTAAAATTAATTTAAAAGAACCCAATACTTTCTATTCTTCCAAAATTATGTGACTTATCTGTGTAACTTCTTTTGGTGAGTTGTAATATAACGTAAATAAATGCATTTTTAATAGAGACATTAACACTAGAGATGCGTTGATTTATATTATATTTCAACTCCCGGCATCACAGAGGAAGAAAAATTAATATATTAGTAGATAACACATTTGAAAGCGATGAAGATACTGACATCCATGACTCACAATTCCATTTGCCGATAATTAGCGGTGGGATTAGTGCATTTCAAACCATTAGATCAAGAATTATTTTTTGGGTTAGGCACACAATTCTTTGATAAGAAAATTGGATTTGAGGAATATGACTCTGGACCATATTATCCTAACCCAGCTAGGAGTTTACTGAAACTCATTCTAATATTAATGAACTTGGATGCATCATATTTGTAACTAGTAACAAAATATCTAAAAGCGAATATTACTCCACTATAGGATCCATCCGATTGAAGTATGATTGTGATTAGCAAATTAATAGATCTATCTTTTTAAGCAAACTGGAAACGGGTAATTATTGCTTTAACTTATACGCAGACGTGTTTGTCAGATGGATGGCATGAGCGAAAGGGAGAAGCCACATCAAAGCAATCTTTGGATTTCAATCTTACAACAGCATGTTAGGCCCCAAAGTAAAAAGGTTGCCTCGCAATGGACGGCACACAATTTCCTCACAAACAAAAGAGACAGGGGTTAATTGGAAAGCCATTTCTTTCCAAAGAGAATAATGCTACAACAAAATATGCGCTTTCCAATTGAGTTCAATCATTTCCATTCTCTCTTCAAAGAAGCCTCAAAGAACGAAAGTAACGAATCATTCAACATGCATTAAGTCTTCACAAGTACTTACACCAGCTGAACCAATTATTAGCTGTCTATGTAGTAGGCATTCAGAATTTTCGAACAATATCAAGATCGATTAGTCTTCTTTCATGAATCAATTTCTTCTGGGGAGTTTTCCCTTCTTTTAACATACATTATTCGCCTTTCCAAACAAGAGAGAGTTATTTTATGAAGGAAGAAGCCTCTGAGTATGTTATAACTCTTTTTTCCTATTTTATTGTCACGAATAACTTGGAAGACTTACCAATGGAGCTTATTCTCACGACAATCTTTCTCACTGTGCTTATTGGATGGCTGGATTTAAAACCCGACCTTGGTTGCATTTCTCTTGACTTTGTTAGTTCTACTTAGGCGTAGTTCTTGTTCTCAAGGGCTAGGTCTTGCCCTTAGGTGCAGCTTAATGGATGCTAAACAAGCTTCCACTATAAGTTACTGTTACAATGCTAGCATTTGACTACAGGAGGATATTATGTGCACCAAGGGTACCATCTTGTTTTATGGGCTTGGATTAAGTTACATCTCCAACTACCTTTTTAACAGCTACAGGACTGCTAATTTAGGTATCAAGTATGGAGAGGGTAAGCAACTCTTCACAATTTGTTAGGTTGCCTTCACATCATGGAATTAGTGAGGAAAAGCAAGTTTGCAAGTTTCTATGGAAGATGGATATTGTAGGTCAAATTAGTCCTACTGCTTGTTGTTTGATGTCTTTCTAATTTCATGTTTTGGGTATACGATTATTAGCTTACCTTGCATTGAGGCGCATTAAAGCTTGAATATTCTGTTTAAGGAATAGGATCTCTTGTTCTTGATCTTTTGTAATTTCCTTGATATATTTATTATAGAGTAATTCTTGGAAATCAAGAAAAGAAAAATATGGCTGCAAAGGTTAAGATAGTTTGGATGTAGAAGACAGCTGAAATGGTCCAAGTCTTATAGATCTGACGCTCTTGTAGTTGGATAATATGAATTAACAACATGTAAATGATAAAGGAAAATTCATCGCTCTTCTTCTCTCTCTTCTAAATATATATAATATAATATATTATAATATTTGCTTGCTAGATAGAATGTAAAAGATGGAAGCAACAAGCAAGTCTTTGTATGGGTTCCATTCCAAGATTTCAATGTTCAATTTTCTGTTGTCAATAGTGCTAATATATCCCTTAGTGAATGACAAAATCTCTCTCCATTGCATTTTAATATTTCAAAGAAACAGAAAGAATAAAAAAAATGTTAACCTTTCTATATTTAATTAAATATTTACAGCGTTAACTTAAAAATGCGGAAAATATTTCTATTTTTTAAAAAACAGATAATAAAACGCAATATTAATATTCAATTAGTCATGAACTCCATTATTATATTTATGTGGTTGAATCTAAAAGCTATAGGCCCAATGAAGGCTTCTTTCTGAAGATCAATGTCAGTAGATATCATCCAAAAATATCAAATTGCTAATCTTTATTTCTCATTGTCATATTGGTAATTTCTGCTATTGTTATTATGAACTCTTCATCTCTTAAATCATTAAATCTTGGGGAAATAAGATAGAAGCCAGCTGCTTGGCTTTCGGTTTAATCAAGTTAGGCTTCTAAGTCTTTTCTAATATATCTTCGCTTAGTAACATGACCCGAAACAAGGTCATAGTAAGAGTATTCTCTAAGGATTCTTTTTTAATTGAGTAAGAGGGCAGCAACACATAGCTCAACATCCAATTTTAAGTGTTGTTGAAAGGCCATTGGTAACTTACAAGAAACCAACAGTGAAAGTGAGTTAGGTTGGTTTATAACAAGTAAAATGAAGAGATGCTCACTTTGTGAGATCACTTTGAGAATGCAAGGGCACCGTCTTATAATATATTTCAATAAGATTGTATCATGAACAGATATCCTTTTTCGAGTTTTTTAACGCATGGTTTCAATATATAGGAATTTGTCTAATAATTCTACATTTCACGAACGAGCTTGACGTATCAAATCCAGTTACGCACAAATGTTAAAGAGATACCAAAAAGGTTAATCTAGTGCTGTTATTCCAACGTAGGCTTTCCGCCAATTCACGCAAGAGTTTACCCAATACTAAGTATGTTAAAGGTAATGGTACTTAAAGTATGGCACAGAGATGGGTATATTTAAATTAATGGTTACCTAAAGGATAGTGGCAGTCCAAGCTAGTGCTTAACCCAGTGGATATGTTTAAGTAATGATTAATAATCTATGCAGTTGGGAAACCACAAGTGTATGATTTAAAGATAATGATTTAACTATTACAGTTTGAGATAAGTGCCTTAATCCAAATGAGTAATGGTTAAGTCAATGTTACTAAAGAAGATAGTGTTTAGATTTAACTAGTACTAAAAGTAAAGATTCAATATATATCTGAATAGGTTAAAAGTTGATTTGAGAGGGTCCTTAGATATAGTAGGAAACTTTATAATGTTTAAGGTTCAGTGGTTTCCTCAAATGGTAAAAATATTGGAAGGCCCCTTAAAGATCATTGAGAGCTTTTATGTGCTATAAGGTGGAAGTTGCTTCCCATTTGGAGGGTACAAGTAGACGGGGGTTATAGATACTTCTACATTCTTGAAGTTTTTTGAAAAATAGTGTTTGGAAACTTGAACGTTTCGACTTCTCGTAGATTGCACTTAAGACTCTATAATCCGTAAGTAATCGTTCTTGCTTAGGTAATACGGCAATGCATTATATGTGTGTGGAAATAGGAGTGATGCACAAGACTGTGGCAAATCTCGACCACTTCTCCAAAAACATGTACCAAATTCTTGTCCGAAAAAAAAATTACAACATAAAATTTAATAGGGGTTTTCTCCAAAAAAAAATCTCATCATAAAAAATAATTTTTGGAATAGCACTAGTCTCTTTGATTAGAACGCATTCTGTTGCTAATACTCTTAAATCCGGTCTCAACAAACGAAACATTTCTATACCGTATTTATTATTTTAATCAGACGATTGTTGTTTTGATTTATTTGAAATCTCACATAAAAGACAATCCATGAAAATTAATTAAATTTTTTAAAAAAGAAAGTTATTTTGAGGAACTAAAACAACTCCTGATCATCTACTCTAATATTCTTTCCTTGTTGATAGAGTTTGAAAGTTGGAACCCCTTAGAGAAGTAACAACTAAAAAACAATTCTGCATAAAGGAAAAAACAATTAAGCAAACGGGAAAACAAAATTTACATTAAAGGTTTCCATTATTTTTCTTTGTTTTTACTTTTTTTTTATTTTATTTGTTATAGTTAGATTGGGCTGTTGAAAATTTCAAGGGTTCATTTGTTTGGTAATTGCTATTTTGCATGCTTTGACAGTTAGTTTGTTTAGATTTCATTGGTCTTTAAATGATATTTGCGCAAGTTTTCGTATCTGGGTATTGCAATGTATTCATAGTGCTAAATTTAAGGTCCTCCTGCATTGTTACCACTGCAAAATGATTTTGCTTTAGACATCTTGGGAATTGAATTTGAGCTCTTTAGGTTTGCAAGTATGTATTAATCTGAGCTTTTCATTTTGAAAATTTTGTTCATTCTTGTTTTGGGAAATTTGAAGGACAACACTATCTCCAGGCATTGCATATTTATTATTTTTATAAATTGTGGAACTTGTGATTATTATGTTTTTGGTCTGCCTGAGCATGTATATATTAATTAAGCTATATTTTTATATAGTAGTTTTGAAACTGCGTTGCCTTCCATAGAAACTATGAAATAATTACATATCATCTTTTTAAGTTGAATTAATTGGGCGTTAGACCTAGAATCGAGCAGTTTTGTGTATTATAAAGAAAAAGCAAAAAAATAATCAGTAGTCCAAAAATTAAAAAACATATTATGTGATTTCATTAACATAGGGCTATTACTTTTGGCGTGTACTGCTACGCAAATGTTATTAATTTGAATGGAAACTGAAATTAAAATTAATAGTCAATTAAGAAGAAATATTAATTTTCATTGCCACTACAATGGACCAGGCTTACCATATATTAATCTGACTTTTATGTTTAATTACTATTTTAGAAAAGGTGGTGAAATAATTTTAACCTGAATGGGGAAAAGAATCAGTTCATGTTGTCGTATATTTACATGTATACTCATTTTTAATACTGCACCAAACCATATTTTTGGTTTTGAATATTTTGGGTAAAATTCTTTGTTTGCTTTTTGAATAATTTAGTAAAATCGTTTGGCTTGATTAAAAAAAATGGAAAAGTCAATTTTTCCAATAGATTTAAAAAAAAACATATTAAAATTCATAGATGATATTGAAATCGTATAGCTTATAGCATTCTCCTTCATGTTTCTCGTCTACGACTCGCACATTGTCGTTTTATTCCCATTTTCTTGGTTTTTTTTTCTTAATAAGTCGAGAATTTACTCCAGAAAAACACACATAAAACTGATCTTTAACAATTAAAAACACCACCACCGAGATGGAGCCTAGCGTCCTGTTGTCGTATACTATTATGTCGGCGAGGGTCTTAAAATATAAATTCTTTTGTTGCATTGATAATATTTTTTATTATGGGCTTAATTTTTTACTCTTTTATAGGTTATTATTATGTTTGGTCAACTTTGATAATAACTCTTTATTATTTTATTATTTTTAGGTTAGGTTAAGAAAAAGTAAGATAAAATTTAAATTTCCTATTTTTTATATTTTTATATTTAATGCTAATTCCTTATATGTACCTTAAGTTTTTATAATTCTGTAAATTTTATTTTGTGGTTATTTTTTAATATAAATTAGTACTTAGGATCTTGAATATATCATAATTGAAAAATGTCCAAAGAGAAAGCTCACAATGATCGCTTCTCTTCTTGAACAAGACAATTCAAAGCTTCAAAATTTTCTAGCAGTTCAGAA